TTCAGTGTAATTACTTGTTTGTAATCCCATGTACTTTATTTTATGCATTTAGAAACATGATTTTGAGTGAGATCCAATGGACTTTACCTGACGGCATGGGTCCATAGCACCACAAATGTTTAAGAACTCTTGGTAGTCTCTAATGTGACTATTGATACAGAAACTAAATTTATTTCATGGGGCAGCCATACAACTCTGGCCCACAGTAAAGTCAAAGCAAAAAGACCCCAGGCCATGGAGAATCCTAACAAATAACCATAATGGTCAGGAGAAATCTGCATGGACCAATTTAAGTAGTGGTTCTTTTGCTTCCTCAACTTGCGTTGTGCAACTTCAGGACTGGCCCGAATGTTCAGATGACAGGAACACCCAGATACAATGAACAGATGGAGCTAGATGATTCTGGAAAGCAAATAACAGCCAAATGTCTATTGTCACTTTGATGCTTAATTGGGCAACATTTATTTGGGAACAGAAAACAATATTTGGTAATACTGTTTACATGGTAAAACTGGTCTGCTTCTCACATAAATTCATCTGCCTTTGGATCATTCATTAATTTTAAATAGAACTCCATGCTCAGATGATTTCAGTGGTATATTGGAAGAACCAAGTGTTAGTAAAAAATAAAAATTGTAAAAAAACAACAACAGTTTGGGGCAACTATGCCTTTTCCTAAGTAGGTCATCTAGATTGTTGGCCAGCACTGCAATAATTTACTTTGGTCTTAATGGAACCTTAAATAATTCTGTACTGGAACCATTTGTGGGTTCCCTGAGAGTATGATTTTGTCCATAATATAAGCCCATAATTATAATACATCATATATCACAATAGTGTGAATTATTGTTGACAACATCAAATGTCAGGAGAGATCTGGCAGAAAATAGAACTGAATTTGAGCAGAGTACGACCGTTAGTATAGAAGGATTAAAGCTATACTAAGATATATAGCTTGTTAGTAGTTCTAGATGAGAACATGTGCCTCATCTAAAGAGCACAGCATTACTTGCACCCTCCATGGAGTCGCTATGTTAGGAATGCAAACCTGCTGTTGCCAAATCTGCCAACATATCTGGAAAAGCTAAAAATGAGATGACGATTTAGTGTTAAGCCACCTAGTGTTTAGAGGAATTGACTAGTGCAATTCTTTTCAAACATTCTTTGAGATAAGCAAGGGTTTCTAAAGATTGAATCTTACTCCTGGGTCATGAACTCTTCTATGCAGATACTACTCACTCGTACAGTGAACCACCAATGAAAATGAGAAATGGGATTTGTTTTCAACACCTCCTACTGGTCTATAGAGGTAGAGGGAAAGTGTCCTCACTGCTTACTGATGGTTCACTGAAAATGAGCTGATAAAAGGTGGATTAATAGGAGAAAACCGTTTACAAAATTTATTAATATGCATGAGGGGAAAAAAATCACATGAGTATGATTACCCAATAACCCAGTGAGGTCCAGATGCTTATATATCCTACTTAATAAGAGAAGAGGAGATGGAGGGTGAAATGATTTTAAGGGTAGATTAATGAGACTAAAATAAATGGGCTGGAACGAAGTTCTTCAGTGCTCTGACAGAGGTGACGGGAAGATGAAGGGCAGAACTTCATTGTGAACAAAAGTTGTCTTATTATACAGATAATGCCTCATGGCTAATCTCTGGAACTGTCCTCAGAAGAATAGATGAAAACTCTGTCTGGGTTTCAGATACTATGAAACTGAGTCAAAGGTTTAATTCATCTTTATAATCCCTGGATTTTTGCTAAAGGATCTCTCTCCCTCTCTCTCTCTCTCCCCCCCCTCCTTCTTAAATAAAATCTCTCGTCTTATTATATCCTCATGGAAATATAATTGGGCTGTATTAAAGAGAGATGGGAGAAAAAAGAGAATTCAGGCATTGTAGAATTTTTACTTGCCCTCATCTTATCTTTATCAAGTTAATTCACTCAGAACTCATTATTTTAAAAGCCCGCATGCGCCATTATGGTGAATAAATACAGACTTATTTTTCCACAAGACTATGTATAATAACTAAAATAAAACATGTATGTGTATTTGTTATCAACAAGGTCTTAACTCCAGCTGTCATTCCCTCATGATCATGCCAGCCTTCCGTCTGCCTTTCCCAAGTCATACAACCAAACTCTTCCTCAATTCCTTACCCCTCCTCATTCAACAGTTTTCTTTCTTTCATCTGTTTTTCTTGACTCATATCCTTATTTTCACCAGAATCATACACCTGCTCAAATTCAGAAGGCTCTTCTCTTTCACAACCAGCTGTGTTCTCTGACTAATATGTGAAAAAACCTTTGTCTAGGAAATGGTTCATACCTGACTCAATTTCATTCTTAATTATATTTTCAGCTTGCCTTTCATGAAGATACATTTCTTTGCAATACAGATGTGTCCAAGTGGTTTATCTATATATGAAAGTGATTGACATGTAGGCTGGGTAATCTCTCTTTGTCCTTCTGGATTCACTCCCACCTTGTATGCCCTACTCTGTGCCACAGGAGGCTGACCTAAGTGGGCAGCATAAACCAGGCTCCTTTGCCCTGTATCTCAGTTGTATTTGAGCAATGGAAGCCACAGGTAAGAAATCCTCAATTGTTGGGGAGAGAGAACACAGGTTGATGGTGGTCATTTCCTTATCAAGGGCCTCAAGTGTGTGCCTTCATGTCTAAGGCTCTCAAAGCTTCCCTGCTATTTCAACCTGTCCGGTGTTTCATCTTTCCTATGATTTCCCTTATCCACATTATTATTTCTTTGAATTGTTCATTTATTAAATCCATTTACTTCTCCCTATTTGAGTTTCTGCCAGGACCCTGGTGACACAGTAAGGAAACATTCTTAGTGCATGGTTGATGTATGGTGTAAATAAGAGATCTAGATCTAGATTAAAACCCTAATTCCATTTCTTTTCTTGTTAAACAAGATTTTTTTGTTGTAGAGTGGGGATAAAAATCCTTATCTCAAAGAATCATGAGAATTAAAGAGAAAAAAACGACGATGGTGGTGGCAAGTACATTGTTTACTCTATAAAACTCTATGTTTGTTACTTTTCTTCAACCAGAATCTTAGTGCTTCACAATTCTATGGATATTATTTACTCCAAAACCTGAGCCTAAAAGTGCTTAAATAATTTTTCTGCTATAGCAAAATACACATTTTCTTAATTCTATAGTATGCTCTATAGAAATGTCTGTAATATAAAATAGTAAAATGCCTAACTAATGTTTGTGTGTGAACATATACAAAATGATTCTTTGCCTTAAATGGGTTCATACAATATGTAAATGGAAGAAATGCTAAAAATACACCAATAACATCAATATTTCCTTAATATTAGGTAAATGTAAGATTCTATTTATATATATGTGGGGGGGGTGTTTTCATATGAGCTCACTTTTTATAATTGTTTAAATAGATCATGTGATGTTCATAGTTTTAAAGAAATCTCTGTGTTAATCATAATCAGTATGTAGGGCTATGACTGATTGCTAGTTTCAAATTTTCATCAGTCAGTGGGTAAAAAAGCATCTCCTCACCCTTAGTCAAAAATTAGTGATGCTGTTTCTTTACAGGAGTGGCTATTGGGAAAATTGAGAGTAGAGTGGAAAAGCTTTTATCTCAACTATTACTCAGGAATTATTGCAACTATGAGTCAGCATAGGTGGGCGATGTTTAACTCTTCAAATTCTATTTATTACTCACACCAAGACTGCAACAACCCAATCAGTATCTGCCTTCCAATGCTGCCTTCTTAGCACATAGTTCCTATGTGGATCACAGCCTCATGGAAGAAACGTGAAGAAATATATAGGATGAGGTGTATATTTTGTATATTTTGACCTGGAAAAGAGACATGGCACTTCTGTTCACAGGTTATTGGCAAAACTAGTGACATGACCCCACAGAAAAGCAAGTAGGCTATGAAATGTGAAGAAGCTCATGGACTTTTTTGGAAAAATTGAGCAGTTAATATTACTTTCATACCCAATGTTATTTTAATGTTTCTCATTTAATTTCACTGGGTATCATAAGATAGATAACTGTATCTGTGTGAATCACCACATTCTGTATTAAAACTAAATGTTACGCAACAACTTCAGCAAATTAGAAGGTGAGTCTGAGAAACGATTGGGGGGCACACTATGCTTCTTTCTCAGTGCAGACTTTTTTACCCTTCACTAGCTGGGATCTCCATTTTATATCATTATTTCTTAAAAGGATACTTCTTTAAACATGGCAATTTATATAGGCAAGGTTCCTTGGTGATTGCAATTGTTCTTATCATAGGATAACATACAGAATATAGAAATTCATTAATAATAAGGGAACTTGGAAAATCTTGCCCATTTTCTTAAATCAAGATAAGGCATATTTAAATGATGTCAGACAGAAAATAATATTTCAATAGAGATTTTCAGAGAGGAGATTATATGTTTTCCCATAATAATCACCCTGAAAGTGAACAAGTTGAAGATCAGACAGTATCTCAGAGCACTTTATAATGTTGTCCTTTGGTTTTGATCTCAGGATAAGTGAACCACAGTCGCTCTCTAATCTTGTCTAAGATATTTTTTTCCTTTTGGTTTTATTTTATTTAGTCTTAGGTAGTATGCTTCTCGGCTGCCCTCAGTTTTTTTCTTCTCTGTGATGAATAGTCCTGTTTCTTTGAATGTTTCCTTGTAGATTTAAATCACCAGGTCTTTCTTATCTCTGTGGCTATTTTTTCTAAACTTCCCAACTCTTCTATTTTGCTATTTCGTGGTATAACCTAGATTTTGGATAATGCAGCAAGAGTAAATGAAGTATTATTATTTTCCACTACAAGTACATTAAAATGACCATGCTTATGGCATCCTTTACAGATATTTTCACACCACAATATATAAAGGTCTGCAGTATTCACTTGAGAAGTTAATTCTCTACAACTGGATTTTACATTGAATGTATTGCTATTTACTTTTTTGCTTGTTTTTGCTTTCCAGCCCTCTTGAGACCTGTCGGCTGTCTGACCTTGAGAAAGTGGGTGGACTATTTCTGGCTGAGAGTGGAAAGAGAAATCGCATGGGAAAGGAAATCCTCACACGCGTGTCAGCTGAAATTTGGATGGTGATGAAATTCAGATGATTTAGGTAAGCTCTGGATGAACAGATAACATTTTGGAGGATCATCTGAACTAATTATGAATTCCCAAGAGTGCATGATTCATCTATTATTGGGTATCCAGGAGGCTAATTCCTCTATCCACCATAATTTCCTAGGATATCTTATTGCATCACACTCAAACAGTTGCAGATTTGAACGTGGACTTCAAAGTTCCTTCAAGCAATACAGTATGGTAGGAGCAAAACACACTGTGGAAAGCTGCTCAGTGGATTGTATCCGATTTCAAAGTCATCTTTTCAACTGTTGTATTGCCTATATCAGAGTTTGTTATTTTTCTGGTCCCTAGCTGAGAGTTGAGCTCATTCTGTGGGAAGTATCTCTAAACCACTAACTGACTTTGAAGCCAGTACAACTAAGGGAGATTAGAAACTTGGCATAGCCTTCTTCTCAAAGCATTTAGAGCATCTTCCTCAAGTTTGTTTGTTTGTTTGTTTATTTGTTTTTGAGACAGTGTCTGGCTCTGTCACCCAGGCCAGAGTGCAGGGCGTGATCTCGGCTCACTGCAACCTCCTCCTCCTGGGCTCAAGTGATTCTCTCACCTCAGCTTCCCGAGTAGTTGAAAGTACAGGCACTCACCTAGCTAATTTCGGTATTTTTGTAGAGATGGGGTTTCTGCATGTTGTCCAGACTGGTCTTGACCTCCTGGACTCAAGTGATCTGCCCGTCTCTGCCTTCCAAAGTTCTGGGCTTACAGGTGTGAGCCACTGTGCCAGGCCTGAGTTTTTTGATCTGTATAATTTAGTGTAATTCAGAAGCAAAGATGAGATTTCAGAGATTTGTAACTAGGCAGAACTCATACCAGTTTGGCTTCTGGAAGTGTCGGAGATGCTCAGGTGGACATATGAGAGAACATGGAAAAGAATCCAAGCCCTTGGCTTATCTAGTTTTATTTAAGTGACTTTAAACAAGGTTTTGCCTTCCTTTTTCTGTTTCTTTATTTGTAAATGCATTATAAGGCTATCTTTCTTGTTTCTTTTACATCATATTTTGAGGCACACATGATATCAGGGGTTATTCCTTAGTTTTCTTATAATGAATCCCATGGGCAGCCTGTACGGAGTCTATGAAATGTTTCTCAGAGTAGGATTTTTAAAATATCAATACACATACACATATATATGCATACATAGATAGCTTTGAAAAAACCAAGCTTTTACACAGATAGTTATCTAAATGTAAAAAGATAAATTTGTAATAAAGAAATACATGTGTTATTATATCAGTGCATTGTATAATAAGGATCTAGTGATGCATCTACTATCACTATTTTATTTTATTTTATTGTTTAATTTTAATTTTAGATTGAGGGAGTACATATGCAGGTTTCTTACAGTTTGTTACAAGAGTGTACTGTGTCATACTAAGATTGGGCTTCTATTGATCGCGTCACCCAGATAGTGAACATAGTACCCAATAGGAAGCTTTTCATCCCTTTATCACCACTCTTCCTTCCCTCTCTTCCAGTTCCCAGTGTCTACTGTTCACAGCTTTATGCTTATGTTACCCGAGATTTAGTCATTACTTATAAGTAAGAACATGTGATGTTTGGTTTTCTGTTTTGTCTTAATTCACTTAGGTTAATGGCCTCTAGCTGCATGCATGTTGCTACGAAGGAAATGATTTTGTTATTTTTTGTGGCTGTATAGTATTCCATGGTATATGTATACCACATTTTCTTTATCCAGTCCAGTGGGTTGTTGGATACCTAGACTTATTCTATCTTTTTGGTGGAATAATTTATTTTCCTTTGGGTATATGTCCAGTAATGGGGTTGATGGGACTGAATGGTAATCCTATTTTTAGTTCTTTGAGAAATTTTCATACTATTTTCTGCAGTGACTGGACCAATTTGTATTCCCATGAACAGTGTATAAATGTTCCCTTTTCACCATAGTCTTCCCAACATATTACTTTTTGACATTTTATAATCCATTCTGACTAGTGTGAGATGGTATCTCCTTGTGGTTTTGACTTATGTTTCTCTGATGATTAGTTATGCGGAACATTTTTTAACATGTTTCTTGGCTGTTTTATGTCTTCTTTTGAAAAGTGTGTGTTTATGACCTTTGACCACTTTTTAATTTTTTTCCTTGTGGATTTGTTTATGTTTCTTTTAAGTTCTGAATATTAATGCTTCGTCAGATGCATAGTTTGCAAATATTTTCTCCCATTCTGTATGTTGTGTGTTTACTCTGTTGATAGTTTCTTTTGCCATTTCGAAGCTCTTTAGTTTAATTAGGTCCCATTTGTCAATTTTTTGTTTTTGTTGCAATTGCTTTCAGGGACTTAGTTACAAATTCTTCACCTAGGTTGCTGTCCAGAAGGTATTTCCTAGGCTTTCTTCTAGGATTTTGATAGTTTGAGGTTTTACATTTAAATATTTGATCCCTCTTAAGTTTTGTATACAGTGATAAGCAGGGGTCCAGTTTCGTTCTTCTGTGTATAGTTAGCCAGGTTTTCTAGCACCAACTATTGAATAGGCAGTCCTCTCTCCACTGCTTATTTTTGTGAACTTTTGTTGAAGATCAGTAGGTTGTAGGTGTCTGGCTTTATTTCTAGGTTCTCTATTCTGTTTGTTAATCTATGTCTGTTGTATTTTTTTTAACCAGTACCATGCTGTTTTGGTTACTGTAGCTTTATAGTATAGTTTGAAGTCAAGTAATGTGGTGCCTGCCTTCAGCTTTGTTCTTTTTGCTTAGGATTGCTTTAGCCATCTGTGCTCTTTTTGGTTCCCTACATATTTTAGAATATCTTTTTTTCTAATTCTGTCAAAAATGACATTGGTAATTTGATAAGAACAGTGTTGAATCTGTAGATTGCCTTGGGCAGTGTGAACATTTTAACAATATTGATTCTTCTAATCCATATGCGTGGAATGTATTACCATTTGTTTATGTTGTCTATGATTTGTTTCAGAAGTGTTTTGTAGTTCTTCTTGCAGAGATCTTTCACTTCCTTGGTTAGATATACTCCTATGTGTTTTATTTTTTTGTGTGTGGCTATTCTAAATGGGATTGCATTTTTATTGCCCTCAGCTTATGTGTTATTGATGCATAGAAATGCTACTGATTTTTATTTATTTTTTTATTCTTCCCCTTAAGCATTTATTATTTGTATTACAAGCAATTCAATTATATATTTTTTTATTATTATTATTATACTTTAAGTTCTAGGGTACATGTGCATAACATGCAGGTTTGTTACATATGTATACTTGTGCCATGTTGGTGTGCTGCAGCCCAAAATCTCCTTAAGCTTATAAGAAACTTCAGCAAAGTCTCAGGATACAAAATTAATGTGCAAAAATCACAAGCATTCTTATACACCAGTAACAGACAGAGAGCCAAATCATGAATGAACTTCCATTCACAATTGCTTCAAAGAGAATAAAATACCTAGGAATCCAACTTACAAGGAATGTAAAGGACCTCTTCAAGGAGAACTACAAACCACTGCTCAGTGAAATAAAAGAGGACACAAACAAATGGAAGAACATACCATGCTCATGGATAGGAAGAATCAATATTGTGAAAATGGCCATACTGCCCAAGGTTATTTATAGATTCAATGCCATCCCCATCAAGCTACCAATGAGTTTCTTCACAGAATTGGAAAAAACTGCTTTAAAGTTCATATGGAACCAAAAAAGAGCCCGCATCTCCAAGACAATCCTAAGTCAAAAGAACAAAGCTGGAGGCATCACGCTACCTGACTTCAAACTATACTACAAGGCTACAGTAACCAAAACAGCATGGTACTGGTACCAAAACAGAGATATAGACCAATGGAACAGAACAGAGTCCTCAGAAATAATACCACACATCTACAGCCATCTGATCTTTGACAAACCTGAGAAAAACAAGAAATGGGGAAAGGATTCCCTATTTAATAAATGGTGCTGGGAAAATTGGCTAGCCATAAGTAGAAAGCTGAAACTGGATCCTTTCCTTACTCCTTAAAATTAATTCAAGATGGATTAGAGACTTAAATGTTAGACCTAATACCATAAAAACCCTAGAGGAAAACCTAAGTAGTACCATTCAGGACATAGGCATGGGCAAAGACTTCATGTCTAAAACACTACTGATTTTTATAAGCTGTTTTGGTGTCTTGAAACTTTACCGAAGTCATTTATCAGGTCTGGGAGCCTTGTGGCAGAGTCTTTAGCATTTTCTGTCTATAGAATTATATCATCAGAGAAGAAAGATAATTTGACTTCCTCGTTTCCTATTTATATGCCTTTTCTTTCTTTTGCCTGGCTGCTCTGGCTAGAATTTTGTTTTCTTTCTTTCTTTTTTTTCTTTTTTTTTAAGACAGGGTCTGGTTCTGTTACTCAGGCTGAAGATCTTGGCTCACTGCAACCTCTTCTTCCTGGGGTCAAGTGATCCTCTTGCCTCAACTGATCCCCCCATCCCAAGTAGCTGGAACCACAAGTGTGTGCCACTATGACCAGCTAATTTTTATGTATTGTTTGTAGAGAAATACATAAAACATAGTGGGGTTTCACCTTATTTCTCAAGCTGGTCTTGAGCTCCTGGACTCAAGCAGTCTGCCTGCCTCGGCCTACCAGAGTGCTGGGATTATAGGCGTGAGCCACCACACCCAGCCGGACTTCCAGTACTGTGTTGAATAGGAGTGGTGAGAGTGGACATCCTTGCCTTGTTTTTCTTAGGATAATGCTTCCAACTTTTTCGTGTTCAGTAAGATGTTGGCTGTGAGTCTGTCGTAGATGGCTTTTATTATTTTGTGATATGTTCCTTTGATCCCTAGTTTATTGAAGGGTTTTATCATGAAGGGATGTTGGGATTTATTGGAAACTTTCTCTGCACCTATTAAAATGATCACATAATTTTTGTTTTTAATTCTTTTTATGTGGTGAAATACATTTATTGATCAGCAATGTACTACAATAATTTTAAAACAGTGATTAGTACAAAGGAAATTAAGAGACATCTTCAATAATTAT